CCGAAATTTACACGTTACATAGCAAATTTATGTATATACCTTTGAGCAAGTAATGCACGATTACTTTTGCTATTATCCAAGCGCCAATTTGAAATTCCAATAACTGAAACTGTAGGTCATGCTGGATAAATTATTTCTGAAAAAGAGTGAGGTACATTAACCGAACTGTTTGATTGGGTATTCGATGGAACTTTAAACGGACTTGGCTCGAGCAAAGAGTGAAACACTTTCGACGGATTGTAAGGGCTCGTTTCAGCCAAACCGACTAATTTTAAGAAAAACTTAAGATATACAGTAAGTATAACTGAAATAAACAAAATAATTCTAATAAATCATCACTAGGATATTTTAAAGCCTTTAACCGATCAATGAAAGTATAATTAGGATCAGCTACTACAGCGATCGTAAAAATCTTTAGCCAATGAAATTGGTAATACTTCTTGCTTATGACCCTCAAGTGCATCTAGCAATAAACCAGATGGAAATTGATTGGTAATTCGTAAATTGTATCTTGTTCGACACAAAATATCCTAAGACAAGACAAGAAACAAGTCGTTTTTTTCTTAATTTATCATCAATATGATTGATAATAAAATTTGGTTCTGACACACGAATCGTAAGTTCATTGTAAATCGTTAATAAATATTGATAATCCATAACTTTAAGGTTTTCAACTTCGATAGAATCATAAATATAATAAAAGCATAATCGCGGATAGATTTTGGAAAAATGCGAAATTTGTTAGGTAGATCATAAGTATTTTTCCAAATACCGAATTGATCATTTTCATAATATCCAAAGTGCGATTTTCTCGATTGCCATTTCCTTAAGGATATTTTTTCACTTCTCTCTCACAAATAACGTATTTGTATTGAATATCATAACCTTCAGCTATAATTGATACGGAAATAGTAACAGAGTCAGATCGTCAGATCGCAATATGTAGGATTTTGAGGAAGTGGCAGATGAAGTTTTATATTGGGTTGCTCCAAAGATTCTAATTCTTGCCCGTCACCAAGAACTACGGGTTGACCAATTGTATCAATATTTTCTGGCATATGAACAAGGAATATGAAATTGATTTCATTCTCATCCTTACGATTGCTCGACATAAATCCATCTCCTGTGATACCAAATACGTTAGTGAACATATTTATTGCAACGTGAAGGTTGCAATTTTAAGATCCTTTTTTAAAATTTTTGTAAATGCAATTATAAAAGCTTGCTTACCGCTATAGTAGTTTTTAAGATTTTCAGAGGATTCCATAATTCATTTGTAAAAAGAAAAAAAATTTATTTCATAAACATAAAAAGTAAAAAGTCTATCACATAACGTTTACTATAATTCAATAATTATATCCAATTGTCTTGTTCATTAAATATTTTGAAACAGAATGTATTTTGAGATTTATTAAAGGATACTAACTAATTAACTATGAAAATAAAGTTTGCATAGTAACATATTTGTTACAAACAAAATATGTCCAGTTCAGTGCAAATAATTTCGAGCAAGCAATGTAGAATTATTTTGTGATATTGAAAATGGTTCTGGTGATTTAATAAAAACAATTTATTAAAAGGAATTATTCATGCCATGACAATGACAAATCAACATATAATTAAATTATCAAATTTTCAAAATATTTAAGGAAAGCCCCATTTATTACCCCAAGTCGAACTCCAATGTTACTTCGTCCGTCCGCTATTCGGTCTGTACAGGAAAGTAATAATAATAATAATAATAAATAATGAAAAAAAAATATACCGACCAAGCTTTTCTCACTTCTTACACTTTCTCGTAATTGTTGTCTAAGAAGTAAATGAATATTATAACGTTAATAAGGTTCGACACTAAAACATTATTTTTTTTATATGAGTTGTCGTTTGTGTGAGAAAAATAAAGAATCTCCAAATATAACCAAAGCTTAAAGATCACTTTTGTTACTGAACTTCCGTTCAAAATCTCAGGAGCTACATAAGGAAAAACTCCATACATTTCGTCTTGTTAACAAGGACCATATCATCAATGGATCGAATATCTTTTCAACTTTTAAATTAACACACCAAATACCAAATACATATAATAATTTTTCTCAGATAGTTTACTTGTTTTCGGCCACACGTGAAACTAAAATGACACTAGAATGATTTTAAAGTATATATGCTCAAATACGAAAGAATCATTAGTTTTATTGACCAAATATTTATATTTTTGTTTGCGGTTAAAATCATAATTAGTTTCTTCGAAATTTAATAATTTGTCAATTTTTTATTATTTTTATTGAATATTGATAAATTTCTATCATGTTAAAGAAAAGTTCATGCACGCTTATATGAACTAAAGTCAGATTAAAAAGATATTCCTGTTATTAACCTTTGTACTGTACAAATGATTTATCAATAAACTTTATCGTACATTGTATTAGAATGTATAACATTTTATTTAAACCAATGTTCAATTATAAATGTTAATTATAAAAGCTATTCAGGGGCCCCTGGGCTAAGTTCCCATTTTCCCTATTAATCGTCAAAACGTTTTTATTATAATTAGAGATCAGGTTTTCTGATGAGATCAAGTTAACGTAATTTCCAACTCCAAATTCGTTCTTGGACCACTACAATGTAAAAAGTGAGGCTCTGTTTAGTGAATCCTTTTATCCGCCTTGTACAAGTCATATGATAAGACTAAAAATATCAGAAAGAAATATAATAAATAAATAAGTAACTTACATGATCGATCGACTTTCGATTGCGTCTAAGGATGTGGATATCCGTTAGGGCTCAGGTTGCAACTCACTCATGATGCAGTTTTTGATTCACACAAGGGAAGGTGACATAACAGACCTTTACAAAGGAAATTAATTCACGAGCAGTTGTACTTGTCCTTTTTCAATTGTAGATGACTGACAATTAAAGTTGGTCCCCCATCACATTCGAGAAAATAAAAAAAAAAAGAAAATGATAAATTACGAAAAAACAAATGAATGTATACCATATTTTCCCACTTCAACATTTGCCCAATAAAATCAAGAATATTAAACATTAACAAGTGAGTCTTACATTAAGGGAGACACAAGCTAAATTTAGTAATTATACTCGTTTCGTGTGAATATAGTAATATAAAATTTCTTTATTGTAAATTAAGTACAAATTTAGTATCAAACGAAAATGAGAAGTATACATTTATACAGTAACTTATTGCATAAGGCGAAACAATTTTCCATTTATTTAAAAAAAAAAATACAATATAATAGTGTAAATCAAGAACGCTTTAATATGTCAACTATTGATAAAAAAATATATATATATTGTTCTTAGACGTGTGACGACATATATCGTTGTATTATATGAGGTAATTTATATGACCGTTTCTGGAAATTCGATCGCGTTTCATATTCCAATATCAGAAATGTAAATGTATTACCTTTTCCAGTTTAAACAGGGAACTACAAAGGAGCAGGGAGTATGGCTTTTCCTTTTATGCTCAACTTCATTTCTTAGGGAAGGAAGTCGTATGCTGCTACTCGTAGTAAATATGAAGTGTCTCTTAGACAAATAGAAGGTTACAAAGAATAGAACAGAGCAAACAATTTCATTTTGTTTATTGCAGTTCTTCTTTTCAATATTAAATTACTAACTTTTAAGTTTAAGGGCTGTCGCACGTTTCAGTCTGTTAACTTATGGTTTATCCGCATGCTTTTGCAGTTACAGACTTGCGATAGCTCTTAAGTAATTTTCTTTAGATGTATTTTCTTTTATTTTTTATTTTTATTTTTATTATTTTGTACCTTTTCAATTATTATTCAATAAAATTTTATGGTATATCTATTACTAATGAAATTTAAAGCTCCTTTGCATATATTATATTATTTGTTAAAGTAATTTCTTTGATGTGAGTAACTACTTAGTGATAGGCAGAATCTCGTTTCGTTCATAGAATAATGCATGCACTTTTACTTATTATATAAACCAACTGTAAAAAACAGGATTTTAAGACTCCTTCAATAGATATAACACGATATAATATACAGCGAATCTTACATTAAGTCCCATTTTCGGCGATAATATTACGTAATGATGATCATTAATTTTCTAATCACGAGACATCGCACCAAAATTAAATAAAGTGCATCTTTCGCAGTTTTTTTTCTCTCACAGGCTTACTACTGTCTTCTCTCGTTAGCATAGCTTCCATCTTTTCCATTCTCTGGTCTACTTCCGTACACTTTTTTCGTCAGCATAGATAACACCTTTCCATTTTCTTGATAATAAAAAACCGCATGTCGCAGTTGGGGAGTGTTTCTGCGGGTTTCCGTCTGCTGGTAAGGGTAAGTCGGACTATCCGGTGGCCATCAGTTCAGGTAAAGTATATTAGACGATATCGTTGGAAAAATATCACCGGCGGCTTGGACAACTTCTTCAGGAGCAGCAACTTTCGATTTTCAGAACAGCAACTACCGATGATTCAGCACTTTAACAACGTCCACACGGTCACGCGAAGAAATATTATTTTTATTTCAGATGGTCACTGACCGCGGAGAGGGACTGAGTAGTTATGTCTAGGCACTTGTGTTTAGGCCTAATGAAGATAGCCCTGTCATGTGGTAGATGTGCAATGTAACCAATTGCGACAAGCTTGCCCTTTTCCCCACATCTTTCTTAACGATAAACCATAATTGCGTCGGTTGCTGTTTACGGCTTGGCGCTTTATTGCGTTGCTGTTTACGGCCTGATGCTTGCGTCGTCGCTTAATTGCTTGATGATGCTGCGTCGTCTTAATTTGATGATGCTTTGTTTTGATGTTTTTTGTTTTTGTTTTTTTTCCTGATTATTATATTTTTATCTCATCGACTTTTCTTTTCTTTCTTACAGCTTATTAGATATAGCGACCCATACCGTCCGCTCAAAAATCGTTTTTGATAATTATGACAATGATGAGAAGTAATTTTAGTGTCTTCCGTGATCATATTTTTATGAATATTGTGTTGCAGTTAAATGACTTTTATAAACTTCTGAGTCATAATACAAAAATTTTCTTGAATTTGGTCCACTAAATCACACTATTCTTGGAATCCATTAAGAAGAGTTCATACGGTGGTGAAAAGCGATTTTTTTTTTTTTTTTTTTGAACGATCAAAATGTAACTGTGTAAATTGGTATATATTATAATGTGTAATAAAATCAATATTTTATAAAAATTGTAAAAAAAAAACTTTTTAATTCTTGATTAATAAAAACTATACCCTTTTTATTTATGATAATTCTTCGCGCGTGTTAATATGGGCCGGTAAATATAAATGAGACGTGACAAGTTTCAAGAGCAGCAACTTTGAATTAATTAGAATAGATCACAGATTTATTCTTTTTAAGTGAAAATGTTTTATTAGGCGAAGGATCTGATGATCAAGTTATTAATTGTTGTTTATATGATATGTGAAACATATCTAAGCATTGCAACTAAAAAAAATTTTATTTATGAACATTCAAAAATTTAACTCTCACCGTCTAAAAGACAAAGTGGATCGACAGCACTTGATTATTGCTGCAGTAAATTTCATGGATTTTATCATGGGTTCCTCGCAATACTGACACTAAAATTGTAATGAAAAGCGGTGTAACCAATTTTTTTTTTGGCAAAATTTCGTTTATATAATACACAATTTCAAAGATGAATTTTTGTGCTAAAGGTAAACAAGATATGGGAGGGTTTCTAGGAAAATCAGGTTCCGAGAAATTTTGACTTAAATTAAGAGCTTAATACATTTTAATCTAATAATATCAAAAACTAAAATGCAATAAAAATCTCAATTTTGTTAAAAAATTCCCGGAACCTGATTTTCCTAGCAATTAACCCATATGATGTTTCATTTTTTTATTACTTTTTTTATTTAAAGAATCGTAGACAAACAGAATAATACGTTATCATTTCTTTTCTTTAATATTTTCCCCACTATGTGATTCAAATATTTCTATAAAATCTATTATAGTATTTTGTAACTTCCAATTTATCATATTAAACATAAAAATGATTTTGTTGAAAGAGAAGTCCAAATATCAATAGCAAAAGAAATTTTTTCAGGAAGTTTTTGAAGAATTATTTGTATATTTTTTAAACTTAATTCATAAAGATCTATAATATTTCTTTTAATATTATCAGCAGAAGGAATGTTTGCTTTAGAATAAAGTGAGTGAACTAATTAAACGAAATAAGGTTCTTCCACAATAGTAAATGAATTTTGATAAATAACAATCTATTTTATAAGTTTCTTTTTCATTTCACTATTACTATATATCCACTAATTAAAAACAATTTTAAAAAAAAAAAAAAATAATTAATAAATTTAAAAAAAAATAAAATATATATATACAATATATACTTTTGATTTATTAAACATATCTGCAATAGTTAATTCTTTGGAAATTTTTTTTACCTCCTTCTATTTGCTTATTATAAAATTTATTTAGATATTTTGTTAAATTTGAAGTACTTCCTCCTGAACAAGTATAAACTTTATTATAAAATTTACAAGTAGCTTTTTTGTTTTTTTTATAATTACTATTTTTTATAAAATATTTCCAAACTTCACTACTTGTAACTTTTGTTATAGTCAACTTTGGTAAAGTTAGTAAAGAACCAATCTTAACTTCAGAATTAAAACTTTTATCATTATCATAATAACTATGTTTTGCTTCATCTATATTTTCAATTACTTTCATAACTAAAAATAAAATATAAATTATATAAACTTAAATTAAAAAAATAAACAAAAAAATAATTTAATTAAACCTACTTATTATAATTACAATTATTTGCCATATTTTTAAATAATTATCAAAAAAAAAATTAAAAATTAAAAAAATATTAATTAATTAAATTAATTAAAATATTTATTTAAATTAATTAAATTAAACCTACTTACTGAAAATGCTAATTATTATTTAAAGAAATCTATAAAAAAAAATTTAAATTTAAAAAAAAATAAATAAAAAAAACAAATTAAATTAAATTAAATCTACTTACCACAGCTGTCAATATTGCTAAAGCTATAAATAATAATTTACCAAAAAAAAATAAAAAAAAAAGCTAAAAAAAATAATTAAATTAATTAATCAATTCAAACATTTATTTAAATTAATTAAATTAAACTTATTGTAGATGCTAACTATTATTAAAAAAATCAAAAAAAAATAAAATTAAAAAAAAAATTAAATAAAAAAAAAAATAAATTAAATTAAATTAAATCTATTTATTATAAATGCTAATTATTATTATTAAAAAAAAAATCTAAAAAGAAATCAAAAAAAAATTAAATAAAAAAAAATTAAAAATAATTTTAAAATTAAATCATATTGCAACTGTCAAAATTTTTTAAAGTTGTAAATAATAATTTAATTTATCATAAAAACAAAGCTAAAGAAATTAAAAAAAATAATTAATTAAATTAATTAATTAATAAATTAAAATATTTATTTAAATTAAATTAAACTTACTTATTATAAATGCTACTATTAAAGAAATCTAAAAAAAAATTAAATTAAATTAAATTAAATTAATTAAATAAAAAAAATTAAAATTAAATTAATTTACTTATCACAGCTACCAATTTTGATGCAGCTATAAAAATCTTACAAAAAAAAAATAATTAAAAAAATTAAATAAAAATTAAAATAAATTAAAATTATAAAAAAATTAAATCCACTTATTGTAAATGTCAATTATTATTATTAAAGAAATTTAAAAATAAATAATAAATTAAAATAAGATTAAAAAAAATTAAATTTTAAAATTAAATCATACTGTAAATACCTAAATTTACTATAGCTATAAAAAAAAATTAAAAAAAAATTAATTAAATTAATTAATTAATAAATTAAAATATTTATTTAAATTAAATTAAACTCATTTATTGTAGATATCACTAATTACTAGTCGAAATAGTCCAAATCAGCTAAAAATCAAATAGCTGATTTTACTGATTTTGATACTATTTACAGCTGATTTGCTATATTTTCCAATCAGCACAAACAGGTGCTGATAGACGCCGATTGACCCCAATCAGATATGACTATTCAAAACTTAAATTCAACTATAAATCAGCCTAAAACTGGCTTCAATTTGGCAACAATTTAGACGCCAATAGACGCTGATCAATATGGCCATTCAGCCTAAAATTAACCTTAATTTAGTATCATTTAGCATTAATTCAAAACTTAAATAACATAAATCAGCTTAAAATTAACCTCAATTCAGTATCATTCAGTATCAATTCAGAACTTAAATAATCATAAAATAGCCTAAAATTAGCCTTAATTTGATATCAATTCAGTCAAATAAGTATATAAAATCGATATATTATATTTATTAAATTTATTAAATATTATAATT